AAGTTATGTTTAGACTTGTACCCAGTTCTTCGTTCCCCTAACTAGGGCAGGAAAAAACCCAGGTCCGATTGCCAGGGGTAAGTAAATGTTTTCTCTTGGGCAAGTGAAAATGGAAGTTTGGTGGTCAAGTGACATTAGCCTCAGCAATCTTGTTAGTGATAATTTCCAGTCAAAAACAACTTCAGGACTTAAGACTGCAAGATGAGCAAAACAATGAGTTGACAGTAATGGATTAATTTAAAATCCAAGCATACTTGATTATAGACGGTATCTAGTGAAACACATGAACATTACACGCCTATTGGGTAAGTGATAGTTTAGTGGGGGCAACTGAAATGTACTGGCTCACTGGGCAACTGGATTTCAAAATATTTTTTCATGCCCTGCTAAGGGCCTAACTGAGATAATATTTATTGCAAATAGAAAAGACAATTGTTTCAAAGATTTTGTTGTCAGGCGTTACAAAGTTTTACGCTTTTAATTGGCTTTCCAGAGACTCAAAAACACCAAACAACTCCAAAAACAGAGTCAAAGACGGAAAATTAGTAGATTCAGCTCAATCATACAGATTTCAGTATGGGAAGACCACCACAGATCAAATCCAGGAAGGCCACTTTTACACACGCAGTAACTGCAAGGTTAAATCGTTTTGTGGGAAAAAAAGCCGAACACCTCACTGAACGCAACCATTACACCTGCTGAATAACATATCTCCTGACCAGTAACAAGATCTGTACAACTGCTGAAAAACGTCAAAGACTTGCTACTTTAAGGCTAGACTGCAGAGGAAGAATAACTGGAAATACAGAATCTAAACTTGTGGTTCATAACATCATGCAACAGAGCAACGCTCGTTTATATTTGCTGACTAAAAAATACGTTTCCAATTAGAGAAGGAGAACGAACAGTTTAATGTAACTGCCTACGATAAAACTATCAGTAACTTCCTTCAGGAAGGTGTCCGTCTAAAAGGACAATTTCGAACGATTAATGGGGAAACCTCTACAGTACTGTGCAAAATTAATGCAAACGATAATCGATTAATGTCACGATATTCGCGATGTTTCGGCGATATTTGAATGATATTTTGCTTGAAACGATATATCACGCGAAATATCGCGGAGCCATTGTTGTAACAGTTGCGATATTTTCCTGTGCACTGGCAGTGTTCAGCTTGTTTAATATCGATGAAGCTTGGCAATATATCGTTCTTGTTCAGCGAAATATCACCACAGCTAAACGATATACTGTTTTCGGTCAGTGAGATATCGCTACAGCTAAATGATATATCGCTTCTGGTCATCGAGATATTGTTGCG